CCCTCCCTCCAGCCCCCACAGCGTGGCAAGTTAAATATTTTTAATGGCTCGATATTTCTTCCCGCGCTTCCTTTTGTCTCTACGATTTCCTCACTCCCTCCATATCCAGTATTAATTACAACGGAGTCAAAATGTGAAGAGGTGGTGCTGCTGTGTGTGCACCGTAACTAAACCGCACCGTCGACTCGTCAGCACACCCATCCCATACACACAACTTCCCTTGTTTTGATTCCCTGCTGAGCTAACGGCTCACCGCGGGGTGCCTCGCCCAACGCTTCCTGTTCCTGTCTGTACCCCCTCCTCCTCTCCCGCCAATGTAGGGGCTCTAATTCAAGAACCGACGCGTCCTAACAAAAATGTCCTATCTGCGGTGTGCGGAACTCGCAATGTCCCATCTGCAGCGTGCGGAATACACAACGTCCCATCTGCAAAACGCGGGTTTGGGGATACCACCAAAGAAATGCTTATTACTCCGTCTCCGCTCGTTCTTTTTCACTTTTTGCAGTCAATAATTGAACCTTTACGATTCTTTCCGTGTTGGCCTTAATGTCTTCCAGTTACTTGCAAACCACACAAAGGTGAAGGGCTGCACCCAACCCCGTTTTGCAGATACAACATTGTGTATTCGACACTCTGCAGATAGAACATTGTGTATTCCGCACGATGCAGATAGGATATTGTTGTTAGGACGCGTCGGAACCTCCTCTGATGACTCGATCCCAAAAGCAACAACTCACTCCCCTCTTCAAATTCCTCACCTTAACTTCCCTCTCCACTCTCACCCACGCCGCATTCCTCTCGAGCGCCTTCCATAAACCCAGCACAACAATAACTTTTACGATGTAAACGCCGCGCCGCAAGAATCCCACGCTTTTTATTATTATTATTTTTCTACTACCCTTTCCCTTCTATCCGTCCCCCTGCTGTTTGCTTTCAGAAATCGAGGGTGACCGCCATACTTGTGCAAAAAATAATAAAGACAAAATATGCTATTAAGCCCGACGAGCCGCCGAGCACGGGCTTCCGGCGCAGCCCAGCGCAACCCCACGCCTGCCTCGCCTCGGGGCGTCCTCACCGCCCTGCTCGCATACCGTGCGAGCCGCATGCAGGCGAGACGTCTCGCAAGGGTCGACCTGCGGAGAGGAGAAGCTGGCAGGAGATCCACCTCAGCCAGGCCGTGGCTACGTCATCCCCGGCTAAGCGATGACCTCCCAATCGCAACCATCCTCCCCGCTCCCCCAAACCTCGCGCGCTTCTTTGTAAACCCCGCGGGACAGGGCAGGCACGCAGGCTGATGCTGCTGATGCTGAAGGTGGTGATGTTGGTGTTGGTAGCAGTGGTAGTGGTGGTGCACGCTAAATATAATGTCCAATTAGTTTTTGTAAAAAGAGAGGAAACTTTAAAGTGTGCGGAGCTGCTGCTGGTGTTGGTGGTTGGTTTGAGAGCTCCAAGGTGTGTGACGATGGTGGTGCTGGGAGTGGCAGAAGGAAAAAAGAAAATGAAAAAGAAGTAAGGATGGAGTGAATTGCCTTACTCCTTTGCTTAGGATCCTGTGCGATCCAAGTTGCTTACGTCATCCACGATGCAAGCTGAACGCTGGTTATATATCGTATCTCGCTGCGCGATGTATCAAATTTCGCACCGGGGCGATTGCGGTTCAGGGGAGGCGCGCGCTCGGCAGCGGTAGAAGTGGTGGTATAAGGGTTATGGTGTGGTGGTGAAAGGTGCAGACGTATGGCCAGCGGGCGATGTGTTGTTCGCTACTAGTCACGCGATCCAGTCGAGACCGAGTAAGGGATGGCGCTGCTGGGAGAGCAGAAAGCAGAAAGAGAGAGGTCGGAGAGAGGAAGGGTGAAAGATGAGGGAGGGAGGGAGGGAGAGTACTGTAGAGGGGTAGGGCCGAGGGGGAAACGACTGTTAAACTTTGTGTCAACTGGATTACGGATTACCCGAATTACCTCCGGATTACCTCCGGATTACCTCCGGATTACCTGCGGAGTGTCCTCCGGATTACCTCCGGAGTATCCTCCGGATTACCTCCGGAGTATCCTCCGGATTACCTCTGGAATATCCTCCGGACTACCTCCGGAGTATCCTCCGGATTACCTCCGGAATATCGTCCGGATTACCTCCGGAGTATCCTCCGGATTACGTTGCTTTTTTCTAGGATTACCCCGAATTACCCCCAAATTTTTCCGGATTACCTCAAATTTCCCCAGATTACCCCGTTTTTTTTCGAATTTATTCGGATGACCCCTGCCGGATTACCGAACGGCTGTCGGCCGGATTACCTTAGTCGTTTCCCCCTCGGGTAGGGCACTTCTCCCGGTGTTGATGCTGTCGCTCAGGCACGGCGGCGCAGTACCGAACAGTCCCCGGCCCTGACCTAGTCCTAACCTCACCTGCGCTCCTCTAATGCCGGCCGGCGTGGCCTACCGCTGCAAGGGGTGCTCCAGGCTAGCCGGCCAACAGCACGCTGCTTCAGCAGGTGTGGAGTTTCCAGAGACGAGCCAGACGCAACCCAACAACGCCCACATCCAAACGCACAGAACAGCCCCCCCCCCCCCCCCCCCCAGCCATCCCGCTGGTCTCCGCG